TTTAATCTATACATTTTGTTAAAGTCCTAATTTTATGTTATTTACATTTAATTTTTCAATCATCTAGTTTGAAGTAAAACTGATTTTTATATTTTTATATGTTGTTATATAATTATAGAGTATTTCATAATCTTATTTTTAATATTGTGTATGATCTTTTTTTTTTTTTTTGAATAAAGAATAAATTTAGAACTATATTTCAGTCAAAAAAATATTAGAATATATATGTAGTCTTAAAGATAAATTAAAGGTATTCTAAAGTAACTGAAAGAAAAATTAATAACATAAAAAATTATTTTGTTTGGAAAAAAAAAAGAAAAGAAAAGAATAAAACACTGTTAATGGTAACTTGATATTACAAATTGATATGTTGATGTGTCACTTAAATAAAATTCTGCATCTTTACAGAATTTTAACCTCTGTACACTAGTAAAAGCCGGGAAATTTTACATGGAAATTTACAACAGCAAAAGCATTTTGAAATTCTAAAAAAAAAAAAAAAAAGAAACGGACTGATTATTAGTGATTTTAGTCAAATGGAAATGAAAATCAAGTGATTTTGTGAAATGTAATAATATAATTGCTGAAATCATGATAAGTGTGAAAGTGTTGACAAAATATGATGATTTTGAAATTGTCTATTTCCAGGCAGTATTGAAAAATATTCATCAACTCTATTGTAAAACCTGAGATGATTTTGACTGTTTAGGATTAAGTGTTTACAGCAAATATTTTTTTGGAGTATAAACAAATATTTACGATGGGGACACGGAAGCCAAGAATTCAAGGTTATGATAAGAAGCAAGCCATTGTTTTTGGCCCCCGAATTCCGCCGCTAACGGAATGTTTGAACGAGATGAAACAGATAGAAACGCGTTTCATGGTCAAGACTACTCAATCTTCTTCCTTTTGTTTTTTTTTTTTAAACTCATTATTTAATATATTTTGGCTTATGGAAAAAAAAAAATCTTGTGGAGCATGCAATCATAATTATCTTTTCTCTGTTTTTATTTTTTTATGAAATATTCTATATTTGCTCTCCAACTAATGGAAAAAAAATCCATCTCATTTTTAACTTTTTATTTGAGGTATTTTAGAACTTGTAATTTTAGGATGACGTTCAATTTTTTATTTTTTTGATTTAAGGATAACTTACTATTAGTCACTACATTTGGTTCTAATAATTACTTGGGCCTTATATTTTAACTGAATGATTAAATTGTCACTAATATTTAAATCTGTTAAACTATTTAATTCTTTTCATAAAAAAAAAAAAAAACTATTTTTAACGTTAAATCAGGGATTCCATTATAAGATTATATTAAATGTAAATGACTAAATAATCAAATATTATAAGATATTTAACATAAAAATGATACTACTTAAATTGAAGGACTAAATAGCTTAATAGATCAAAAAAGATGTAATAGCAAAAAAGTTTAAACTTTGACCTTTTTATCTATATTAATTAATTTGTATCAATTTAGCCTCTATTAGCCATCCCTCTAAATTAAGTTGATGTGTCTATTAACCTTGATGAGTGAACCTCATAAATGACGAATCAGTGCTGATTAAATAAAAGAACACGAAGGTGTTTGTTCCATACATTTTTCGTATAAATTACAAATTAACTATGAAGGTTATAAAGAAAAAAAAAGAAAGAAAATTTCTAAAAATATTAAAGATAATTAACGGACAAGTTAGTTTAATTGGAAGGGACAATTAACGGAGGCTAGAATTGATACAAATTAATTAGTACACGGTATCAATTCATAAAATTAAAAAAAAATTGACTAGAATGATAAAAAAAGTTAAAATTTTGGGTTTTTTTTTTCCTATAAGGTCATCTTAGTCAAAATACAGAAACCGAAAAATAATTAGGAATCAAACCTAAAGGATTAAATAGTAATTTACCCTTTATTTCAATCAAATAAATTCAATTTCACATAAAGTGAAAAGATTTACTTAAATGAACCAATTTCACATTTTCATATAGGCATGTAAATCATACTTAAATGAACCAAACAAGCAAAACAGTGCGAAAACCAATTCAAATCTCAAATTTACAAATCATGACAGCTTTAATGCAGTTGGAGTTGATTACAGATCGCCTGAATTCCAACTGATGTAAATCAAATTTTGCATGTTGAATCAAAATATACAATTTCTTAGATCTAAAAATAAATATTTACCAAAAACAATTAGACGAACATCTTTCTTTCCAATCCTTAAATATTAAATCTGATTTTTATACATGAACACTGCATATGATTTACAATAACAACAATCCAAGTAAAATCTTTTGCACCTAATTAGTTTTTCCCTTACTGTCGAAATGTAAAATAAATTGCATCAAGTTAATTACTTTTATTTATTTATTTATTTATTTTTTTGAAAAAGTTCTTTGTATCCACAAGACGACACATCGAAGCATATTATTATTATTTTTTTAAGTTTCAATTAATCGTAAATTCTGTGTATACAAGACATTTAAATGACATCACAAAAGAGAACGATTGCAAATTTGTTTATGCACATATTGCAGAGCCATCTAATCAGTCAACTTATGGTCAAACATACGTTTGCATTTAATTAATTCATACGTTTGTATTGTATTCATAAAATAATATTTATAGTATTCTTTTTATTCATAAAAATACATGGGCACATAATATTCTTTCCAAATTCAGAGAGGGAGGCTTTCTACCTCATATGAAATAATTAAATTAGTAGTCTATTAAGACTGATTTAAAATAATCAACCAAAATTTCATTTGCATATTCTGGGCGCCTAATTTTATACCCTTGAATGCTTCAATAAGAGAATATATACTACTTATGGAGGAAAAAAAAAAATTGGAGGTTGTTGGTGAATGTATGAGTTTCTATCTTGGCTATTTTGTCTCGTTTTGAGTTTCGTTGGATCTCGACGCATTGCAACCATACACGGAAGGATGGAGGGAGGGATGTCAAGGGTGGCCTCTGCCCCTAACTAAAATGTTTTTAAAAAAATTTATATAAAATGTTAAAATTTTAAATTTTATCTATACAAGAGTTAATTTTTCAATTTTATCCTCTTATATTTTGCAATTTTTTTTTACCTCTTTTATCTTTTATTTTTGGCTCCGTCGCTTGATACACCTCTCTCGGCAAAAGTTCATACGTTTAATTATAAATTACACCAAAAATAGAATACTATAGCCTAAATAATTTTTGTGGGTTATGCATACAGAGCCAAAGGAAGTGTCAATAATACAGCCTAAATACTTGCACATTTAAAGCATACTTGAGGTTTTCAAGGTGGATCTCTCCAATTCAGTGAGGCATAATCTGAGTTTGTCATTAAGCACATATACACTGCGCATAAGTTAGGGTTATAGGACCCACGCCAATGTATTTTCTATTTATACATTAATCCTTTCCTTTCCCCTTCCATAATTATTTAGTAAACCATAGCCTGGAAGAATAAAAATTTCAGGGATTTCTACTACTCCCGACAGATACGTTGTCGTACTTGAACATAGTTGCTAAAAAATATTCTAATGCTTGTTGCTATTTTTTTTTTTTTTTTTGAACAGCAAAACACATTTGAATTGTTATTAAGAACTACAAATCCTCAACTCTAATGTTCTATATAACCCAAAAGATCTATAACAAATAAATTCTATACCCGATATGGACTACAAAATGTAATGAAAAAAAAACCAACATTTTATGCAAATTTTTAACAGTGTGTCAGACCATGCTACCAAATGTTTATGGTAGTGCCACCAATGACATTAGATTACGGTGCCAAGTTTAGCCGCATGGGTTTCTAGCCAAGTGGGATATTTCATCCTTTATGGTTGAATAACAATTATTACTCATATGAATTTAAATAACTCTATATTATAAATTTTATTTACTTAAGTGATATTAAATTTCTATATTTTAATAGCTTGTAGATTTTACTGTTAGAAGGAATGCTGTTTTGTAGTGTCAAATTTAACGTTAATTCAGTATTTAAAAAAAAAAAAAAAAAAAAAAAAAAAAAAAAAAAAAAAAAAAAAAAAAAAAAAAAAAAAAAAAAAAAAAAAAAAAAAAAAAAAAAAAAAAAAGAAACAAGCTACCTTAGCTTATATTACTAGAATCAAAAGAAAGAATTTGGTACAAATACTCGGGAGGGCATACTCCCATTCAAAATCAGGCATAGAAACAACTGCATGAGCTGACTGATTCGCCGAATATTTTGACAAATTCACACATAAGGCAAACTCAATAAACAAGACTTACAATCAGCTACCATCAAATTAAAATAAGACATGTCTAATTTATGGATAATATGTATTTTATACATGATTTGGATCATATCATGCAGTTCTAGTTTTCATTCCTAACTTATGGATAATGGAAAGCAGGAGATATTAGGTCCATAACATAGACTGAGAATAAACAGATTATGGACGAATATTTAATTCATTTCCGAAACATATATTTTCATTACAAGACTAATATTTAATTTGGTAGTCTTGTATATTTGTTGTAAGAGTGGAATTTATGTTGCATCAACTTGGTTTCAATATGGATAAATAGCATATACTAATAAATATTAAGATAAATGGTTCAGCACACTTTTCTCAAACGAGGTTAAGGGTTTGATCCTTTATAAATGTAATAAATACTTGTTGGGAATATTTTTTTTCTTAGTGGACCGACATCAAGAGTTGCTGCAGGTTTAATTTCACTTCAATTTGATATAGGGATAGAATTAAAACAAAATTATAAAATTGCCATAAAATAGAAGTTCATGATCCTGAATTGTCAAAAGCTTTAAATGGAAATCTAATTGGGGAAATCTGAATGTAACAGTGATAACATCACCTTTCTTTTCTTTTTCTTTTTTTTTTTTTTTTTGGGGGGGTGGGGTTTAGGGGGGGTGGGGGTTTAATAAGCCTATTTTCTGAACATTTGATTTCGTTTACTAAATAGTAGACTGTGTTAGACCTACCATAGATAGATAGACCAAGAAGTAGTTACAGTAAGACAAATAAGGTAGGGTATCCACCAATATTCTCATACCTAAGTCCAAATCATTTTCCCTTTCTCTCTTTCACCTCTTCTTTTTAATCTCTCTATGCTTTTTTCTTCTTCATCTTCAATACTTATATGGAGCAAGCAAGGTGCTGGATGTTGACTAAGCGAAAACACAGTATGACTTCAAATCATCATCTTCAAAAATCAACTAATTCTCACCCTCCATACGAAGATTCATGGGAAGAACAAGCTTTTGCAGAAGATGCAGCTGCTTCTTTAGGCGGTTGCGTGTGGCCACCAAGATCTTATTCTTGCAGCTTTTGTAGAAGAGAATTTAGGTCTGCTCAAGCTTTGGGCGGTCATATGAATGTCCATAGAAGAGATAGAGCTAGACTAAAGCAATCTCCAGGCCCTAACAATGAACTTGTTAATCATCATCATGACCATCAAAATCATCACAATCTCTTTCAGAATCAATTTTCTTCTTTGGGTAATTATCAATATCCATCTCAGATTTGTACTCTGGTTTATAGCCCTAACCCTAATTCTAATCCTTCTGCTATCAATAATATTGCATCACCTCCTTCACCTACTCGTCAACTGAATTGCAATAATGAAAAGAATTTTTTCCCTCCTTTTTCTTCTTCTTGTAATATTAAACAAGTAGATGGAAGAAAATCCATACCTCCTAGATCTTCCCCTCCAATCTCCGTGACCGACGGATATTACTGTAAGTCAGATCCCAGAAGCAAAGCAGAGAAGAATTCAAGAATTGTAGGATCTACAGAATGTAGTGCTAAGGTAGATTGTGTGAAAACTGATTTGTCTGTGAGCTTGAATTTAGTGGTTCGACGAACATGCCCAACAATAACAGACAATAATGATGATGATGTAGAGGGGAAGGAGGCTATAGTTCGCAAAAGAAGGAAACATAACCATGTCCAGTCAGAGGTATTTGAAATTAGCCCTTGTTTTAGAGAGGAATTGGATCTTGAACTCAGGCTTGGTGACCGGCCGTCTAAGGTAAAGTAGTAGTTGCCGAAACCCTCAGGAACTACATATTGATATATTTAGTACTACTGGTTTTCTCTTGTTCATTTTTCTTTTTTCCCTTTGAGTTTGATCACTTCTACTGTCCTGAGTGCTTATGAATTCGCAAGATCATGTAATAATATAACAAAATATATACTATGACAGAAAAAAAAAAAATATATATATATATATAAAAAAATAAAAAAAAAAAATATATATATATATATATATATGAAATCTTCATCTATATATCTTGAAATATATATCCTAATCTATTATAAAGTAGTTAATTATCTGTTCCATCAATCATTACTAAGCTTACTTTCATAGGATCAAGCTAATAATGGTTATAAACACTGAGAATATTTATGCCTTGAATTCTATTTTTTTTTTCGTGTTTTTTTTTTCTGATTTATTCCATTTTCTTCTCAAAATTTATTCATGAAAATGTATCTTTCTAAATGAAACATTTATGCAATCAAGAAATAGGTTTGTTTCCATCTTAAACAAATTTTCATTTTAATATTATTTGTTACTCGTGAAAAAATTTCCCTGTAGCATGGATAATGCATGTGTTCCGGTTTAAGGCTAAACAAAAAGAAAATTACTTGTTTGTTTGTTGTTAAAAGAGCACGGTTGAGTCCAGCGGATGAGCTGTTAAGGTAGGGTTCGATCCATGGAAAAACAGTTATAGAGAGGGATAGTCACCCACCCAGGAACAAGATCAATGCCATAAGACGCTAGCATATTTTGGATTATTAGACTTCTCCTCAAAAGTATATAGTATAAGAAGTTAAAAGTTCGAATCATTACAGTTTTTTCTTGATTAACAGAAGTCCTTAATTTAGTCTAAGGTAGCAAGTCGGGTAGTGTTTGCATTTGAGGTAGATGAGATGTCAATTATGGCGGTTAAGAACAGAGAGTGATCGATGAGATTAGGGTATATGAGTCGGGTTTAAGAGGAAAAAGAAACTGACTAAAATTGCATGGAATAGAGTGAAGCACTATTTCCCATTGAGTACATGACTGACATTCCATCAGAAGCAAAACTAAACTAAACAAAAACCCGTAAAACACACACAGATAGGTTAATTTCAAAGGACACAAAAGTCAGATATATCAAAACATCGATTCCCTTTTCTCTTGTACTATTATCATCGTCATCAGATCTGTTTGATCAGTTTGAATATCTTCCTCATATAAGTCCATTTACTTGTGTTCTCTTCTATCACTTTTTATTATCTCTTTATTGTTCATAATCCTTCCAAATTCTCTACCTACTCCGGGAATCACTCCATTTAAGTATTGCACATGATATAGTATATTAATTATTATTATGTCTTTTATTTTTAATTAATTGCTAAGAGAATATTATCGCATCATGATGCATAGCCATTATCTATGCGTCTTTTTGTTTCTTCCTCTATATATAATTAGTTTATGTATATGTACATCCTCTTGATAACATAACCCTTGTGCCTAAATAATTACAGAATAAGATATATAATTCTATATATAGAAAACAAATTAGTTAAAGTATATATGAATTCTTGTAAACAAACTCTAACCCTCACGCTAGATAGGCTGAAGAAACGAAAAATGTCCAAGAATCAAATTAAGAAAAAATAAAGAAATGGGTTGTTTTTCTATGAATGGGACATTTAATAGAACAGGGCATTGACTTTAATGGAATTTCAGGGAAAGTCTGAGGGAGAGATGCAGAAGGAATTTAAGACATAGACAACAAATAACTTGTAGTAAAGAGTAGGAAGTGAGGTTGTTTTAATGATTTGAGGTGTTTTTTCATGTGGGTTATTTGTCTTGTACGATATACATATGGTAAAGAGGGAAACTGGGATTATTTGCATCGGTTTCTACGAAGGGATACAAATCTGTGTAAGAGAGTTTTAAAGTTGATTGGTTGGGATTTGTCTTGATTAGGGTTATGAGTTGGAAACAAACACAGCGAGCTAAGTTTCAAAGAAACAAAGTAAAGGAGGGAAGCAGTGAGAGAGCAGAAGTGCACATGGGCATGACATGTCGTTTTTCTGTTTCTTTAAAGACTTAAAAATGGAATTAAGTGACAAGTTATTCTCTGTTTTAGTTGCGTGGTTTTCTCTGTTAAAAAGGGTATTTTGTAATTCCAAATTATTGTTTAAAGAATATAATTTCAGTAGGTAGAAATAATTCCATTGCAAGTGGGTTGGTTGTTTGGGAGTAAATGTTTATTATTGTTTTGACAACTAAAGGGTATATTGCATGGGAACAAGTTCCGCTTCACGAGCTTACTTCACACTGTCATATATTGCAGCGTATATGCCCAAAAATAAATAAAAAAGAAATCTAAGTTTCAAAATATGAATTACTTATTCAAATTTAATTAGCTGGTGAGACAGAATTTGATGTTCTCAGGCTTAACCTAATCCAATTGGATTGATGTTCGCCAGAGCCCCCTAACTAGTGGCTATTCCCAAATAAACTAGGCTTGAGATCAATAGTTAAATATACCTCACTCAGGGACAAAGCTCTAGGCTTTAAGTATTGGGAGGTAAAAATTAAAAGTAAAATTGTGGGCTAATATGGATATTTTGAAAAAGTATATAACATGCACAGGGAAAAAGTCAATTTGACAAATTTTCAGAGAGTCAATATGAATAGTTTTTAAAATATATATAAATTTTAAAGGGAAAAGCTGAATTTTAAAATTTTGATTGGTAATGAGTATTGACTCTCCAATCAGATAACTCCACCCTCGATCAACTTAACTTGGATCGGATTGCTTGAAATAAGTATTAACATTTCAAAACACTTTTGTTTGAGAAAAATATTTCAAATACATTTCATTGAAAAGATAAAGATTATAATAAATTGAGTTGTTTTTCCTTATAACTTAAGATGATTTTAAAAGCATTCAAGAACATTAATATTCTTATAGTACTTCTCAGTAACTAAACTAATCCAATTGGATTCCGGTCAATATAGATCTCATAAACTATAATTGAACGCATGATACCCATGCTCAAATTGGGCAATTTTTCAAAATGAAGTAAAAATAATAATTCGTTCTAAATGGTGTGATTTTAAAATAAAAATACTTACCAAAAGAGTGAAAAGTTAGATTTTTCTAATGGCAAATGTTACGGTCAAAGTGTAACAAATTAAGGCATCATTTGGGTTCAAAATTCTCTATTTCAAGGAAAGTATACTTCCCACAAAATTATCTTACAGGAACTATAATTTGAGTATGTTTAGTATACAAATCAACATTCTAAAAAGTAAAATATTCGCTCATTACAAAAGATAATAATATCCATAATATAAATTTAAGTGTGTTTAGATAATATGACAAATTGGTAAATTTATTGCACTTAATTAGGGAAGTATAAACTTCTCTAATCATTTTTTAGAAAGTTACTTCCTCTGTGAAAGAGAAATTAGATGTTCTACTTCTCGAAAAGTAAAATTAGAAATGCAAACTAAATACAAGTATTTTACACGCTTTTCGGAAAATTATATATCTCTAATTTACTTACCCCAATCAAAAATCACATAAGATGTACTATTTGTTATGCTAAGACTTTGGTATTAATAAAAATAAATAAATAAAAATTCTACTCAAGAAACCGCCAGTTATATTGCTGAGCATTTTGATCTTATGAATTATGGCAATAGAAATTATAAAATAAAATAAGAAAAATTGTTTCTAAAAACTACCAATTGTTTTGGTGGTTTCTTAAGCGTTTCATAGTTCTACCTTGCAAAAACTGTAAAATAAAAATAATTAAAATTTTTGCTCAAGAAACTACCAACATTTAGGTTGGTAGTTTCTTGAGTATTATGATCTTTTGGCATAAAAATTATAAAAATAAAAAATCTTGCTACAGAAATGTGAATTCCTTTGGTCCTAAGCATTTTCAAATATGAAATTTTCTTTGCCCGTTAATAGAAAAATTAAAAATAAAATAAAATAAGCTCAAGAAACCGCCATTTGCCTTAGCGATTTCTTAAACATTTCGATTTTATGACATGAAAATTATTTTATATATATATATATAATTTTAGCTTAAGAAACCACCAATTTTTTCGGTAGTTTCTTGAGTACATTTTCAAAACTCCTTTTAAAATTAGCAAAAAATTGAAAAAATAAATATAATTAGCTCAAGAAACTGCTAGTTACTCTAGTTGTTTCTTAAGCATTTTTTTGATGTAATACAAATAATATAAAAGTTAATTTTTTGTTCTATTCTTAATATAATAAATAGTACCTCTTAATTTGTCACGCTTTGTCATTAAAAATTGAACTTTATACTCTTTTTTGGCAAATATTTTTGAAATCAAACAATTTAGGATTTTTTGTTTTGCTCCATTTTGACAAATTGCCGCTATAATTGACTGTATTACAGGACAAAAAAAATGTATTTTTAACAGTTTTTATCCAATGATTAAAATATTGATCAATATAAATTGAGAAATAAATTTAATTATAATTAAATTGACCTCTTTAATTGGAATAAGGAATTATTTTTCTACTTACAATATAGAACTTTACCTTAACTAGTTATTTTCATGAGAATATTGCGAGCTGCTACCGAGAAATCCAAAGAACGTAAACTCACGGCTCTACTAGTAATAGCCTCGGGGTCCATTAAGTCAAAGAAATTAAATGATATATAACGATTACTCTTTTCTTAGGTTCAGATCTGAATTTGAAACATACCAAATTGTCAAAAACTTCATCAATGAATAGGTTTACATAAAATAATATCAGACAACTGTCAAACCATATGTCTGTAGTTATTATTTCTTAGGTTAGTGGTTCGATACAAAATTATTGAGTGAAATAATGTTAAAAAGGGAACAAGCATCGCACTTAATTTGAGCGGATAATTTTTGTAAAGTCAAAGATTCAATATCTGAAAAATTAATTTATAAAAAGAGGTAATTACAAATTACAAAATGAGATTAGTCTCGTAAAAAAAATGTGAGAATAAATACGTAAAAGGAAAAGCAGTCTGACCTTATTATTATATATTCATATTGCTAAGGCTATTGGGCCTTAAATAAAATCTGAAAGGCTTAATCTATTTCTGGAACAATAACATAATCTGAAATATCCATTTAGATCTTCTTCTTTTTTTTTTCAC